ATGCGATGCGATGTACATATTATTATGATACACACTATTTTGAAAAGTGTGCATCAGAATTTGTGTTTGTGTCTTAATTGTTAAGTTTAAACATGTACCTGAATCTAGCTGTGAATCCAGGTAACAGAATAAGTGGACGATCTCTTCAAATGTTCTACTTGGTGACTGTCTTGCTGCAATTGTAGATAATGAGAGAACTTGTTATTAGTTCATCCAATAATACATATGTAAGTTGTTTTTTTCACATGTATCATTCATATACTAAGACATTGATCAGATTATTTAGTACCCAGACAGTCGCCATACATGTTTCATTATGTGAAAAGTTACTTTGCTGGATATGTTCAGTAATTACTCAAAAGTCTATCCTATATGTGTACTTACATTCTTTATACCAGTAAGAAATTGCGGACACGTTTACCAGCATCTTTTTTCGTGCACAATGTAATTGTTTAACACCTTGATCCAATACGGGGGTGATATCTGTACATCCATCATCTATGTCATTTATTTGCGGTATCCATATACCATCCCTGTGGTCACCACAAGCACACTTCACGCATATGTGATACGTCAAACCCGGTGTGTACATCCGAATTAACTCATTAAGGGAGGTTTCCACTTCTTGTCGTACCTTCTCATAAAGATGTGGAATTATTCGCTCGCCTAAAATATCCGGTCGTAACATCTTTAATTCTATGTCCGCTCCCTTTCTACACAGAGTAAAGTGGTGGTCGTTAGACTCGTTATGAATAAAACGAGCATGATCCTGGAATAGCACGGCTTCCGAATGTTGTCTTAAACAACGAACAATCAGACGGTAGTATAATCCTTCCGGTAAAAAGTTACCACGAAAATGAAAATATAACGGATCACAAGACTTATACTCTGAAGGGAACAGCACGTTTTCCTGTAGCTTGCTTTGCAGTAGGCACGGGAAGTAGTATACGTCGATTTCTAGAGTGGACTGACAAATAATATCAAACATTTCAAGAACTTTCAAGAGAATGTCTGTATCCTGCTGGCGATCATGCAATTTGAGCCACTGTGAAACTAACTCCTTCTTCATCCTTCCGTGGTTGTATAGTTCATCAAACATTTTCAGCAGTTCGGAAGATAGCTCAGGATTAGTCTTGTATGAAACTGTATTTGTAATTAATAACCTGAATAAGTTTATCAACCATCGTGGATCAATGATTACAGTATCTTTAAGTTCACGGACATCAGCAAAGTGAATGATCTCTCCAACATCATGGAAGTACTTCAACGCATCGTTAATCTCTGCAGTGGACAGATCCCTTTCTTTGCCTAATCTGTGTACTTCGGATAATTGCAGTGTCTCCTTCTCTTCGGATCTAAGCGTTAGCTCTAGTATTAGCCAATTGACAGAAATTTCACCGAGAAAGCAAAATTCTTTAGCGAGTTCCTGTATCCGTTTTCGGAGGCGTTCTACCGATGGATCAGTCGTCTTATCGTCTTGTCTAGACTTATTATCAAGAGCAAACATTGGAAAAGTAACGTGACTATCCCATGCTGATTTTGTATGTTGCCTGAGATATTCTCTTAATTTACATAAACGGACTTGGCTTTCCTTTTCAACATCCTGAAATATATATATTTGAATAAATAATGCTATTAATTCGAGACAAAAATAACAAGCATTCTAGTTCGATGAATAACTTCCTACAAATGACGTCATAGAAATAATCGGATATACATGTAGGCACTAATATTTAATAACACTTTTTGTATTACATAACTGTTTTACATATAATGTTATTATTTGGAGACCGGAAAAATATACTCACCCCTTCAAGTAAATCTTTCTTTGTACCTGCAATTATAACTGGTGGTGCAACAATGGTGTGTTCTTCACTCTCGTCTTGTCCATGTGCCTTTATAGCAAAATCCCTCATTGCATGGGTATGAATTGAATTTGTCCAGAAACGCATGTAGTCTGAATAAAATACCGATGAATGAAATACTTAATTTTTAGTCTTTAATTGTAATATAAAATATAAGCAAAATGTGTCATTTTTGAAACCTTAATTCATCATACCTTTCAATGGCATATCTTCTTTCCAATATCTTGCTGTCTGATCTTGGGGCTCCAGTTCTAAAATATCGTCAAGTCCTTTTGTAAGATCAGTTACAAAGATGTAAATTACCCTATATGCCAAAAATACCTAGCGAAAATAAAAACAGAATACTAAAAATGTTATTTTAATTGAAAAGAGCAATACCCAATTGACGTTTCATACATCAAATCAAATTACACTCATACCAGTTTTTGATCAACATTGTATTGATATATCTAGAGTATATATTGTCGGACTTTCTAAGACACCTATCTTTACCATGGATAAGATACTAACATAGGACAATCAACAGGGATGTTACAAGTGCACACAAATCAATATCAAAAGTTGTATTTCTCTAGTTGCCAGGTAACCATGCCATCACTGATATTCAGTTATTCGAAGGATTGTGGTTGTACCAGGTTCAGTTGGGGACTGATTACTGTTATCATATATTTTACTCATTAATGTTCAATTACTTAGCCAGTATTGTATCCCCAAATCAAATTGTATTTATTGTCAGTTTGAGTAAATCAGATTTATAAACAAGACGTGAATGTCATAGTTCTCGTATTTAAAAAGAATAATACAATAATTTGTATATTCACCTACATTCATATGCAAAGGTTGACATTAGTAACTCTAATGGGGTGATGGCAGAAAAAC